AAAAAAAAAAAAACCTGTGCAATGCAGCTAAATCAGCACTTTAAGGAAAATTTATAGCTTTAAAAATGCTTCCACTAGCAAAGAAGGTGAAAATTAAGCTAAACAAAATTAGAAAAAGTACAGCAAAATAAACCCAAAGAAAATCAAAGAGGGAAAACAAAGATAAGAGCAGATATTAATGAAACAGAAAACAAAATACAGTAGAGAAGATTAATACAGTTAAAAGAGTGTCCTTTAAAAACACTGACAAATCTCTGGTGAGAATAATGAAGAAGAGAAGAATGAAGGCACAAATAAATAATATCAGGAATAAAAAGGGGAAATAACACACACTCAGGAGAGATTAAATAACATAAATACAATTAACAAAATCATTCTATAATACTTAAAAAACTGAATCAGTAAGTCAAAAATATTCTCACAAAGAAAACTCTAGGCCCAGATAATTTCAATGTTGAGTTCCATCAAATTCAAGGAATAATTTCAAACTTACATAAGCTAGTCTAGAGCACAGAAAAAGAGGAAACAGTACCCAGTTTATGAGGCTAGCATAACCAAACATAGGGAGTAGAAAAAAAAGAAAACAACAGGCCAATATCAGTAACATACAGATGCCAAAATCCTAAACAAAATATGAGCAATTGAATCCAGCAATGCGTAGAAAAGGTAATGCATCTTGACCAGGTTCTGTTTATACTAGGGATGCAAAGTTGGTTTAATATTAAAAAGCCAATTTTTATTGTAATTCATTAAATTAACAAATTAAAAGAGAAAAGCCATATCATCGTTCCAGGAGATGCAAAAAAGCATTTGATAAAATTAACGTTTGTTCATGAGAATGGAAAAAAAAAAAAACCCAACACTTCACAAGCTAGGAATAGAAGAAAACTTCTTTAACAAAATGTTAAAGGGTATCACAGAACACCTTATAGCCAGGGTCAGTAAACTCAAGCCTGTGGACCAAATCTGGCCCACTGTCTTTTTCAGTTAATAAAGTTTTAGTGGAACACAGCTACACCCATTCATTTATGAACTGTCTATGGCTGTTTTTCATATTTATGACAGACTACATGGCCTGAAAAGCCTAAACATTAACTATCTGGCTCTT